TCTCTTTCTCTCTCTTTCTCTCTCTTTCTTTCTCTCTCTTTCTCTCTCTTTCTTTCTCTCTCTCTCTCTCTCTCTCTCTCTCTCTCTCTCTCTCTCTCTCTCTCTCTCTCTCTCTCTCTCTCTCCCTCTTTGTCTCTCCCTCTCCCTCTCCCTCCCTCCCTCCCTCTCCCTCTCCCTCCCTCCTCTCTCTCCCCCCCTACTCTCCCTCTCCCTCCCACTCTCCCCCCTTTTCTCTCTCTTTCTCTCTCTTTCTCTCTCTTTCTCTCTCTCTCTCTCTCTCTCTCTCTCTCTCTCTCTCTCTCTCTCTCTCTCTCTCTCTCTCTCTCTCTCTCTCTCTGTCTCTCTCTCTCTCTCTCTCTCTCTCTGTCTCTCTCTGTCTGTCTGTCTGTCTGTCTCTCTCTCTCTCTGTCTCTCTCTCCTTCTCTCTTTCTCTCTCTCTCTCTCTGTCTCTCTCTCTCTCTTCTATGCTTATCTATCTTTCTTTCTCTCTCTGTTTCTCTCTCTCTCTCTCTCTCTCTCTCTCTCTCTCCTCTCCCCTCTCCCCCTCTCCCTCTCCCTCTCCCTCTCCCTCTCCCCCCCCCCTCCTCTCCCTCTCTCTCTCTTCCTTTCAGTGAGTCACTCCCTTACTCAATTGTTTTTATGGTCATGGAATATAGGTATATATATTTTTTATATATTTACATATTTTTTAAAATATTTCTTTTATTGTATTAAATCTTTATAACTAAAACTATTCCATACTTATTGTGTTTTCTGGAAAAGGAATTATCGCTGTCCATGTAATTGTTATTTTATTGTACCTGCATTTTATTCTACATTGTTCCCCCCCCCCCCCTAAAAATTAACTTTAAAGAAAAGTACTTGTTGAAATAGTGGCAACAGAGTGATTTCATGAACCATTGTTTGTAAACAGTCCACGTGCGGCATATGATCCCTATGGCTACTATTACGGCCATCAAAGTCAACCCCCCCATAACTCCAGGTAAACAATTTGTGTATTAGCATGAGGAAGTAAAAAGCAACCGTAACAAATTACTGTAATTCACTTTGGTTTTTAATGTCCATCCAACTTCTACAGATCCCCTTTTAAGGCACTAGTTTCCTCTCCTCATCTTTGTCTGGGTTATGGAACCATTAAGATCGTCTGGTATACCTCCTTTGTTTTAATTTTTCCATTACTTCTAGGGTATCTTATATTCCTTGTTTAAATTTTGTATATTTTGTTTATGATTTGCAAACATAATTGGTAACTTTTTTACTATAATTAATAATATGGAAAGAGCACATGCATGTACATATGCAAGTATTAATTTGTGTACTGGTTTGGGTTTACTCCTGCAGAGTACTTAGTACAAAGTAATAAAAGCTTTAGGATAATAAACTATTGCAAGAAAGTAAGGTGTATAACAGTAAAGTCTGATTATTTTCATAGTCTAGGATCCCACTGCTGTCTTTCATTCTAAGGCTTTGTGAATATCTCTTGTGTTGAGTAGTGGTAAGCTTTGTCATAGTTTTGTTAGTGGTGTTATTAAACAAATATGTTTTTTCATTGCTTTGTAGCATACTAAGTACTTATGTAAGGTTACATTTTAGAAGGAGTTTGCATTTTGTGTTGTTTTATGTATTTATTATATTTCACTGTGTATATTCAAGAAACAGAACTTTATTTTCATTTTCGTTTTTTACTTTATGCATGCAACACAATGCGCTTGGCTTGCATGGCACTGATTTCAATGTTTTTTTTTCTTGTTGTGTCTGTGTGGTGTGGTTATGCTACAGCCAGTTCATGCAAGACTTTCATGGACGATCATCATCTGGTGTTTATGAACCCTCAACCATCTACCCTGAGGGTTCCTTCTCTCAACTTAAATCATATGCCAGGTGGGTTCTTTGCCCTTGCTTGCTTTTACGCCACAGTTTACACTCAGGTCTTCATTGTATTCCAAGCAATTAGTTTAAGTATTTATGTCAGTAACCTGTCCTTTGCATAATGTATATATTCATTGGCCTTTCAAATTACAATCATATTCATTATTCATGTTAAACATGTTAAAACTCCTTGCATTTATCTACTATGTCCATTAAGCAGTTTTTAAATTTCACAAAAAGAATTTTTAAAAGCTTTGTTATTTAATTAATTCCAATGTGTGGTACTTGATGCTGAATTATTATTAGAATTATTTAGTTTAAAGCATGGCATTGGTCTCAGCCAGAATTGGTTCTATATATATTGTCTGCAGCCATTTCTACTCTGAGATGAGCAGTGTTATCTGCTTTTCATGTATATTTTAAATTCATCTACTTTACTTGCTCTCACCTAGTTCGTAGCTAGAAGAGGCCAACACAGATTACATCAACAATTTATAAATCACCAACTCAAAAATATGTTCTCATATTTTCAAACAGAATTGCAAATGACCTAATTAAAATTTTGCATTTTCCTTTAAACATATTCTTTACTTAGTATGTAACTGGCAGCACTTTAGAGTTTGTTGCTTTTGAAATTAATGATGTTCATCAATTAGCCTCAAATCATTATATGTGTGTTTTATAATGGATTTATCAACCTATTTACATTGAGTGGCAACTATCCTTACCTTGAAGCATTATGCCTATATTACATGTGGCAAGTTATGTTCGATGTTATTCTCACTAAAAAGTTGTTCACAGTTTAACTCGGTCTGCAGGCATTGAAAAGGTACAACCATCCAAATTAAAATTGAGTGATGATTAGCAGCATAAATATTAAAGAATAATGCATGGACACTCATTAACCCATTTGCGCTGGGTAAAAATGAACAAAAAGTGGGGAAAATGCTGTGCTTATTTTTTATATTTTTTTGTGAAATGTCTTTACACTAGATGGCTCTGCCTTACCTGATCTCACCTTCACTTGAGTTGGCGGGAAAATGTATTTTTACTAGTGCTATGAATATCGATGGTTATTTTTATTATAAACATCATAATTACT